GGCCCTCCACTGTCACAGAAGCACACCTGGTCCTCCACTGTCACAGATGCACACCTGTGACTCCTCAATCAAGGAAGACTACCTAATCCCCCACCATCACAAAAGAGCTCCTGGCCCTCCACCATTACAGAAGAGCACCTGGTCCTCAACTATCACAGACTTTTTTTGTGGAATATCTTTTTGGGCTACGATATAGAAGCTACTTGTCATCTTAGACTTCTGTCACTGTAATCAAATGGTATAGACTGCTTGCTTACTGACTGACTGACTGACTGACTTTGGTTGGTTGGTTGGTTGGTTGGGTTGGGTGTTGGGTTTTTTTGTTTTGTTTTTGTTTTTGTTTTTGTTTTTGTTTTTGTTTTTGTTTTGAGACAGGGTTTCTCTGGGTAGCCCTGACTATCCTGGACCTCTTTCTCTGTATAGACCAGGCTGGTCTCAAACTCAGAAATCTGTGTGCCTCTACCTTCACCTCCACCTCCCTAGTGCTGGAATTAAAGGCACACACCATCACTGCCTAACTAAGACTTCATAACTTCTAAAGAATAAGGGCTACAAGTTGGGCTCATGGATGGAGGCATATCATCCTAACACTTGGAAGGCTGAGATAGGAGAATGGTTGCTATCTCCAGGCCACAGAGTGAGAGCCTGTCTCAAAACAACAGGCTCTAGAGAAATGGCTTAGAGGGTAAAGCGTTTGCTATGCAAATGTGAGAAACTGAGTCCCCAAGACCCCTGTGAAAAGCTGCATAATACTTCGTATTCCTGTAACCCCAGCATGAGAATAATGCTGTCAGAACTCAGGCAGGCTAAACACATGGGGACATGCTTCCTCCACACACCCAAGATATGCTTTTTACGGTTTTTTTTCCCCTTGTGGATGGGTGGTGGTGGCTCATGCCTTTCATCCAAGCACTTGGGAATCAGAGGCAAGTAGATCTCTATGAGTTCAAGGCCAGCCTGATCTACAAAGTAAGTTCCAAGACAGCGAGGGCTACACAGAGAAATCCTGTCTTGGGGGAAAAAATTGTTGGGCTGCAGAGATGGGTCAGCATTAAAAGCACAGACTGCTTTTGCAGAAAACCTGGGTTTCATTCATGGCACCCACCAAGGTGAATTATAACTCCAGTTTCAGTGACTCTGATGCCCTCTTCTGCTTTTCATAGACACACAAGGTACACAGTACAAGCAGAATGTCCTCACACATTAAAAAAACAAAACTAGTAACAAGAAAGCCCCTAAAAAAAAACATTTTATTACATTACATATCTGTGTATACACACACACATACACAAACACACACACACTTGTGCCTGTATGAAGGTCAAAGAACAACTTGCAGGAGGTGGTTTTCTCCTATGATATGGGTCCCAGCAATTGAACTCAGTTGTCAGACTTGGTAGCAAGCACCCAAACCCACTGAGCTATCTCTCCTGCCCTGTCCTTTGTCTCTTATCCAAGCCTCTGAGTGAGTAAGTAGCTTAGGGCTCTGGGAACAAGAATGCTGTGCCCAAAAGGAGTCCTAGGGCCAGGCTGTGCAGATTCCAGGCTGAGGTCTGAAGCCCTGCTTTTGTCTCCTCAGGCTTTTGGGAACGCCAAGACAGCCCACAACAACAACTCTAGCCGCTTCGGGAAGTTCATCCAGGTCAACTACCTGGAGAGTGGCATCGTGAGGGGGTAAGTCACTCTAGTTGTGTGCCTTCGCCTTTCAAGCAGAGGCTGGAAACCAGGGCTCCCTGTGTGCTTAGCCAGTCCTCTGCCCCGAAGTACATTCCCATCTGAGTGTGGCGTCGAGGGTTTCAGGTCTGCGCAGTGAGGATCTTCTGTGACAGCCTTGACTCAGAACTGGCCACCGTGTAACAGCCTGCTTGCTGACCTTTGTAAGGTTTCTCTGAGGTGTCAGGTGTCACAGGCAGAATGGAGTATGGACCTCAGCATCAGCTGCATGTATGCCCCTCAGCTAGAGACAGTTCTGGAGAGCACTGTGATGTACTTGGTCCAGGGAAGTCCTAAGGGTAGCAGTCGCTGAGCAGAGGTGGAGCAGTAGAGTCATGGCTTGAGGGATAGATATGTGGAAAACTGCATGTATGCATAGATTGTGTGCATAGACAAACAGCAGCTTGGATGCTTACATGAATTCCTGGGTGGATGGTTAGATTGAGGGCTGTGGTCGAGTTAGTGGATGGGTGGATGATGTGTAGATGGGTGGATGAGCTGATGGATTTGTGGATGGATAGGCTGAGGATTTTGTGGGCGAGTTAGTGGACGAGTGGGTAGATGGGTGGGTACGTGGATAGGTTGGAAAATTTATGAACAGGTTTATAGATTGTTTTGTGAAGGAGGTAGTGCTTAGTTAATGAGTGAGCGGCTAGACTTGGTCTGGAGGGATCACTGGGGAGTGGGCAGTGAGTGGCCGAAGCCACGAGTAGATGAGTGGGTGGGTGGATGTGTGCACAGTTGGAGACATAGGTGGGTGGATAGATTTGTGGGTGGGTGGGTTGGCTCATGGGTGGGTTAATGGGGTGGCTCAGGGGATACAGAATGCTGAATAGTGATAGGTTGGGTTGATAAGTAAGTGAGCGGGTGGGTGGGTGGATACGTGGCTTGGCTCAGGGGATCTGTTGGTAAACAGAAGGGTCATGGGTCAGTAGATAGTAAATCAGGCAGACGTATAGGGCAGTGGGCACAAGTTTAGGCTGAGCAGCAGATCTTGACACGTGGATATGAGGTTGTGAGGCAGGGGTGAAGGTGACATTCTGTTGGGCCTACAGCCTAGTCACAGGCGTGTGTCACATGGCAGTAGATGTACTGTGAGTCTCTGCAGCACAGTGAGCTTTACCACAGTCCCAAGATTCAGACCCTTTTGTTGTCAAGGCTCTCTGTTATAATAATTTTATAAGTGATTGTTTTTACTTTATTCCAACTAGTTCCTAAGTAAATGAGACAGAGACTATAAGATTTATGTATCAAGCTTTAAGACACAATATCTGAGTAGTTATTAATCTATTCTAATCCTCTGAGCTAATCTGGCTACCTTTTAGCTAAAATCCCTGAGACACTTGCATTTCCTTCAGGCTCTCTGCTCCAGATGTGTTCTCATGGTGTCTCCTCAACTCTCTCGTCCAGAATCTTCTCCGTGCTCCCCGTGCTCCCTGTGCTCCCCTGGCTGAAAGTGGACCCGGCCCTGTTGTCTCCCCTGCTTAAGCATTCTATTGACGTTAGGAAAAATAAACGGGGAGCAGTGTTTAGGCTGCACTGGATGCACTGGACAGGAGGGTCTTAGAGTGAGCGGTGCAGTGCCCTGTCGAGATTGCAGCCAGACATGGAGACAGAGAGATCAGCATTTGGATGACATAAGAATACTCTTCACACAGTGCACAATAACATGACTCTGACAGTCATCTGCTGATAGTTCACACTGGTCATGGAAGGGAGGGGCTGAGCCTCTGGCATCTCTTCCTCACACACCCCCACACTGGGCAGGTTCTGCTGAGGATGCCGATTGAGAGCCCTTGATAAAGGTCGGGTTGGTTCTGGACCCTTGTGACTCAACATTCTCTGCTTGGCCTCAGCCCCCACATGCCCATCTGGGGTTCAGCTGTAGCATGAATTCTGCCACCTGAGCTGGGTGCCCATGTACACAGCTGGCACACATTCTCCATCATAACATCTGGATCATGGGCTATGAAAATCTCCTCTCTTTCCAGGTAATGAGAGTGTAAATTCTTGTGAGCTTTGGGGTCATTATTAGGGTAAATTCAGGCTACTGGAAGCCAACACTGCAGTACACTGGCAGTTGATCCCATAACCAAGATGACTGTTGCAGAGCTGACAGAGGGAATGTGTTCAAGAGAGTCAGGACCTGGCAGGGCAGTGAGGATGACATGGATCTTACCCTATTGTTAGACTGCCATACTGCTTCACACTTACAAATCATTTACTTTGGAATTTTCTGCTTCTAAATTTCCAAGCTTGGGTAACTAAAACCACTAAGACCGAACATGAAACCAGATAAAAGAAGTACTTAGCTAGGTCGCATGCACAGTCTGTCAGTACTGCTGGCCCTTACCTGTGGGTGCAACCTCGCTGCTGCAGGCTCTCAGCAAGTTCAGGGCTGATGGCCCTGGTGACTAGATCTTTAGATCAGCTCTTCTCCTCAGGGCTCAGAGGCTACCCTGCCGCTGGCCCACAACCCTGCCTTGCTCCAGTGTTGTTGATGGGTTCAAGAGAGGAATTCCTGTATTGATCGGCATCCATATTCTGGCCTAGTTTCCTGGCTTCTGGGGCTGCTACTGCCTTGTAGCACACGAGCTGCAACCCAGGGCTGCCTTTGCCCACTGTGTCTGCTCATATTTCTGTCACTGCTTCTTCACAAAGCCAAGGATCAGGGCACATCTGAGCATGGCCCAAGTTCCCCATTCCTGAAGTTTTAGCTTTCTTTGTGTGCAGATCAGCTCAGAGGGGCCTCTGCACTCACAGGACCCCTTGCTGGCCTCAGAGTTTTAAAACCAAAAATTAAGGGTGGGCTGCTCTTGCAGAGGATCTGAGTTAAATTCCCAGTACCCATGTGCAGCTCACACCTGACTGTAATTCCAGTCTCAGGGGATCCAACGCCCTCCATGGACACTGCACTCATGTGGTACATAGGTACACACAGGCAAAACACTGATACACATGAAACTAAATTAAATTCAAAATCTCAAAAACTGGGTTGTTGACTGGGGTGGAGCCCCTGCTTAGCATCTAAACAAGAAACCACCAAAAACTAGGGAAAGAGACCTGGACAGCTTGTTCCAGCAAGTGGTAACCTGTGTCCACATAGTTGGCCTGTCCTCTGCTGAGGCAGGGTGACCACCTACCCCTGGACACAAGGAGAAAAGCGGACATTGAGAGTCTGACCATATGAATCTGATTTTACGAGAGGGGGCAAAACTGAATGGCTAAGGCTAGAGAAGGAAGTGTTTGTGTGACCCAGCACTCAAGAGGCAAAGGCAAGGGGATTACAAGTTCTAGGCCAGCCTTGACCACCAAGAGTCAATCTGCGAGGAAAGCTGTGATTGACAGGTAACCTGGATCAGACTGGCCTTGGGCTGTCTAGGGCTGTCTTGATTTCCTCTCTAAGTTGCTATTGGTCATATTGGGGTTATACCTTTTTTAAAAAGGAACTAAAAAGCAATCTTTCTATTACCTACCTTATTTTAAATTGTTTTGAAATTATTTATTTTATGTGCATGGGTGTTTTGCCTGCATGCATGTCTGTGCACCATGTATATGTAGTACCCACAGAGGCCAGAAGAGGGTGTGTTAGATCTCAAGAAGCTAAATTTACAAATGGTTGTGAGCTGTCTTGTGGGTGCTGGGAATGGAACCCAGGTCCTCTGGAAGAGCAGCTACTCTTAAATGCTAAGTCTCTTCAGCTTCTTCGGAGGGAATCAAGAGTCTAGATAATGTCTTCAGAACCTGCCCTGCACTCTGAGTTTCCCCATAGGCCTGCAGGCTTAATGGCACTGTCCTACAGAGGCAGGCAGATCTCCCAAGAATTCAGGGCCAGCCTGGTCTACATACTGAATTCCAGGGCAGCCAGGAGCACATACATGTCTCACAACAACAGAAGATAAATAAAATTTAAAATCAGGCTCAGGTGGAGAAGTCCACAGACCAGTGGGTGTGGAGAAAGCTGGTTAGGACCCTTCTTTCCCATAGTGTTCTGTAGGGGCCTCATCAGGAACTACTGTACCCACGCTAGTGTATGGGAGGATTCCCAGAAAGTGCCTTAGATGGTGCCTGGAACACCACAGGTCCCCAGGGAACACTCATTGTTACTCCTGCAGCCCAAGCATCTAAGATGTGGCTTCACAAAGTCAGTGAGCAGCAGGGCTGGAAGATGCATGCATGCCTGTGCTTTGAGGGATATGCTCCACTCAGAACTGAAGATAGCCTGTCGAGGACCTAAGAGGTCTTGGGAGATGGCTAAGGTGCTAAAATGCTCTGTGACGTGAGCACCAGGGTTTGAATCCCCAGAATACACATGAAGGCTGAGCACTGGCGCTTGGCAGCTGCCTGTCATCCTCGTGCTCATGAGGCTGAGAGGAGAGGTCCCCAGAACAAGCCAGCCAACTAGACAGGCCAAATGGGTGAGCTCATTGAGACCTTGCCTAAGTATATAAGGTGGAAAAGGATCCAGAAAGACTTGAGACTTCCACATGCACAGATACCCACATACACACATGTAACAGTTCCCCCCCCACACACACAATGTAACCCACATACACACATGCAACAGCCCCCCCACAAACATGATATAACCAAAAGACTATGTGCTATATGTGGAAGGGTGTGTGTGTGATACACTGTGATGCCTGTGTACTCTGGATTCCATCCCTACTTCTTACCACAGACTATCAGTGCAGATCCGTGACTGGAAAGAGGGGCAAGACAGCTCAGCATCAAAACACCAGCTGTTCCTTCAGAGGACCTCTGAGAATTGGTTCTCAGCACTCACATGGCAACTCACAACATCTGTAACTGTAGTGCCAAGGGACATGACGCCCTCTGCTGGCCTCCTCAGTCACCTACATGTACAAACATACAAATACACAAACACAGAAGATTCAAAATAAAAACAAAATATTAAAGTAAATACTTAGAAAATGTCAAAATAGTTGTAGTCCCTAGTG